GATTTTTATTTTTTACTTTACATTATTTACTTTTTACATATCCTTTGGTAAAATGCAATTGATTTTTACTAAGCCTTCCAAATGATTGTTATGCCGCATTAACGACTGTATGTACTTGTTAGTACATACAGTCGTTAATGCGTCATAACTATAGTTCACAGCAATCTGTACTACCTGACGGGTATCTTTCGATGTTTTGGATTTAACCAAGAGATCACTGGAACGTCGTATATCTCAAGAAGTAAATACAACTATTAACGTTTATATGCTCTTAACAGTAGAATATATTTATATAAATGTACAATTATGTACGTGTATTTTTTATTTTTAGAAGATGGCAGATGCTATGGAAAATATTTACACAATTGTATTGTTTCTGCCCAGAAAACTCACTGGGAATATGATCGATTTGATACCATCCTGCTGGATAGCTAAGGAGGAAAATAACACGTCCCGATGCCAATACCCTGGTTCAAGGGACTATTCAAAAATCCCGCAGTGGGTTACACAAAGAAAAGAAGCGGAAAAAGACTGGGAATACTTTTCAATAGAAATAATTGCGTACGCACGTAAGTAAACATATGCTATTTTCGAAATATATTATATCGCAAAGAGAAATATCTGACGTGATAATAAGAAGAAATTGCTCGTAGATAATCTGAAACAAGGCAAAAGAAGACTGAGGCGGACGTTCGCCACAGCGGAGGTGCGCAGCACGGATCAGGGGGAAAAAGAAAACGTAATGCCCACACTTTTGAGCGAAAGTGACGTACAAGAAGAATTAGATAACGTTCAATATTTACACGCTGATCCCTTATTTTGTGATATGGATAAATTACTAACTCCAGCGCGCAGCGAAACAGAAACTGAAGGAGATAGGAGCGAGGAGGAGAATCAGCAGACGAGAAAAAAAAGGAAAACCACATATGGTAAGCAATAAATTTTTGTCCATGAATTTACATACGTACATTTTGTATATGTGTATTTTAATATCAATAATTAAATATGTATTAAAAGACCAAAATGTTACTAATATCCAGTTTTATCAGTACATATCCGGGCTTTCATACGTTATCTCTTACCGTTAATTTTACGATGCGTACCATCCACATTAAGGGAGCCAACGTACCAATGTTCGGATACGTACTTGAAGCTGAATATTAGCATTTCGGTTTTTAAATATATATATTAAAATTTTTGATATAGATTACACATATATGAAACTTACGTATGTAAATTCATGTACAAAAATTGATTCCAATAGTTTTTTTCTCAATGTGCATTGAGAATATAATTCCATTCTCTAGGTATAGCGATATCGGAAATGTACAATCAAGAATATATTAACATAACGCCTAGTTGTGAAGTTTCGATATCAGTATGCCTCAAGTATTGGATTACCACAACGCGGCGATCTTTGCATATTGAAATATATATATATATATAAAATTGCTTTTTTAAATACATTTGTCGTTTATTTTACCTATACGATGTTCCGTCGTGTATAAATATCTGTACAACTTAATTGTATATTACTTGAAGAATTGGCAATTCCTTACATAATCTACAGTTACGATGTGCGACTATTTACATATGACGGTCCTTGCACAGCTGAAATTAAGGACAAGTATCTTGAGAGAAATTTATAAAGTAAAACCATCTTTCAGGAGTCCTACAGGAAAAAGTGGACCGCTTGGAGGAAAAGTTAGACGTTATTTTAAGAGCGATCAATTGTGCAAAGAGAAGCATACAATATGACATCGACAGAAAGCTAGACGCTTTAAAAAATACCATTACGATTAATCGTCTCGAACATGCGGGCAGCCGTAACATTGATGAAATTCGAACATCGTTGGAAACAACGTTCCCCATAACAAATATGCAAGACTTCCTGCAATTTGAGGCAGCTATTGCTGATTCCGCGAATAAGAAAACAGCTTTGGTGATTATGCACATACATACTTATATATTGTTGCGAGCGCGTCGCGGTATTGCGAGCGCATCGCTCCTGAAGTCCGCGGATTGCAAGCCGGGATACGTAGCAACGGTTGCTACGTGGGTCTGGCTTGCTTGTTGACAACAGCTGAGAGGAGAGAGTCTCTCGATAGCCTGCGAACGGTGTAAACGTGTGGCTTGAATAGAGAATTTATATATCACGTTGCTGTTGCTTTATAATAAAGTTCTTGTTCATTTCTATATTCGTGTGTCTTGTCTCTCTCCGCGCCCGCGAGTGTAACAATATATATATTTATTTATTTATAGTGCAACAATATTAATACACAATTTTACTATAAATATCATTGTACAAGCTCATTTAAGATTGACTTGGCCTTTCATACACTTTATGTTCTTAAAATGAATGAGTAAATGTTCATTGCAAATTAGTCTGT